ATGTGCCCCATGACAGAGCGAGCTCCCGTCTCTAGTTCCAGCTCCTGCCAACCTAGCAGTTCGAAAGCAAGAAATTGCAAGTAGATAAATAGGTACCACTTCGGTGGGAAGGTCACAGCGTTCCGTGCGCCTTGGTGATTATTCATGCCGGCCACATGACCACGGAAACGTCTTCAGACAGCGCTGGCTCTTCGGCTTTGAAACGGAGATGAGCACCGCAACTCTAGAGTCGGACTCGACTGGCTTTCGAGCAAGGGAACCTTTACCTTTACCTTTTACATTATGCACAAATTTCTATCCAGTGGCACCTTTGAGACCAAAGAAGTTTAATTCCGGGTGGAAGCTTTCGTGTGTGTGCACATCCAGAATGAAACTTCGTTGGTCTTAAAGGTGCCACTGGACTCAGACTTTGTTTTGTTGCTTCAGACCCAACACGGCTACCCACATGAATCTATATTATGCACTAGTGGTGTTAGTGGTGGTAGAAGTAGTGGTGGTAGAAGTAGTGGTGGTATTTAGTCATTGGCCATTACAAATTTTACAAAACAGTAACAAGTAAAACGTTAAGATCAGACTGATGCAACCAGAAATTCAATACCACCCTAGCTCTAATCTTCTCATCTGCAAAGGCAAACGGAGAAGCTCTGTAAAAGATACATAAGAATCATTGGCCCCGGTCACACGGAGGATTTGCCGCACAAAAGGCACGAATGCTGGGCGGATTTTCGGGGCGCAATCACACCGCAACATCTGGCAAGCGTAGCGCACCCATGGCCAACCGTGGCGTGCCACTGAAGAGGCGCAGTTAAAAAGTACCTGCAAAGATCTACTAGCAAATGGTTTGCCACGGGCTGCAGAAGGACTCGTTCGGTGTGATCGCGCCGGCGTGTGCCGAAGGACGAAACCCTGGGGTGTCGCCGTCGCGTCTGATCGCATAATGGCGGATCAGAATGAGACGGCGTGAATAGCCACACCTCCCCCTCCACGTTTTCTGGCACGCGTGGCCGGGGCCATTATCTGCCAACAGAAACACAATCTTCCGATTTTCGGAGTACACGTTTAGGACAGATGAAATCCCAGGCAAAAATCTATCATCACACCACATCGGCAGGCTCTGAAGGCGGCCTCATCGGACCAGATAAAGTTTGAGGGTGGTCCGCGGTCCTCGAGTGCAAGCCCTTGTCCTCTCCTTACTCTGGGTCAGTGGGGTGCGGTTTGGAGGCAGCAAAAGGATCGGCCAACGGGAGGGGTGCGTGTGTGGCGGGGCACGCCGGAGATGCCCAACGGAGAGCCAGAGCCGCAAGCCCTCTCGATGAGGAAGTCTGACTTCAACAGTCAGTTTTCTGGAGGAGGAAGCGTCTCCTGAGTTTCGGTCGCATGGTCCCTCTCAGAACAGTTGCACAAGCCTGACTCAGAGGTGGACCCGTTCTGAGTGAAAAGGCCCATCCCCCTGGCATGCCCGACGTCTGGGCCAGCAAGCAGGAAGAGTTTTCAAGGCACGAGAGGAGCCGGGGTGGGGTGCCTTTGCCTGCCTCTGCGTAGCAACCCTGGACTTCCCTTGGTGGTCTCCCATCCAAATACTAACCAGGGCCGACCCTGCTTAGCTTCTGAGGTCTGACAAGATCAGGCCAGTCTGGGCCATCCGGGTCAGGGGAGAGACAAGCAGAGGTGGTTTGCCATTGCCTGCCTCTGCATAGCAACCCTGGACTTCCCTTGGTGGTCTCCCACCCAAATACTAACCAGGGCTGACCCTGCTTAGCTTCTGAGGTCTGACTAGATCAGGCCAGTCTGGGCCATCCGGGTCAGGGGAGAGACAAGCAGAGGTGGTTTGCCATTGCCTGCCTCTGCATAGCAACCCTGGACTTCCCTTGGTGGTCTCCCACCCAAATACTAACCAGGGCTGACCCTGCTTAGCTTCTGAGGTCTGACTAGATCAGGCCAGTCTGGGCCATCCGGGTCAGGGCAGAGACAAGCAGAGGTGGTTTGCCATTGCCTGCCTCTGCATAGCAACCTTGGACTTCCTTGGTGGTCTCCCACCCAAATACTAACCAGGGCCGAGCCTGCTTAGCTTCTGAGATCTGGCTGGCCTGGGCTCCCCCAGTCAGTGTCCCAACACATGATGACTAAGTTTATAAGTGGGGAGGGAAGGCAGCATGGCAGTGCCCCGATCTCACCACACCTCAGAAGCTGAGCAGGTTTGGCACGTGGATGGCAGACGACCAAAGTAGGCTCTGCAGGGGAAGGCAATGGCTTCTCCAGGGGTCATTTCCTGCAGGAGCGCACCGGAGCGGAGCTCCGGCAGTAAAGAGCCTAGGAGGTGGGCACATGCAACAAGCCCCGCCCCCTACTCCCAGCAGCCTTCAGTCAGAGCAAGAAGCAGCCAGGGAAGTTGCAGAGCCACCCCCCCCCCCCGCCTGCCTTCAGGTACAAGCTCTCCCCCCTCTGTGAGGGCAGATCTGCACGTCCCCTCCCATAACTAGCAATCCAAAACAGTCCAGTGGCACCTTTAAGACCAAGTTTTATTCAGGTACAAGCTCTCCCTCCTCTGAGAGGACAGATCTGCACGTCCCCCCACCCCAATAGCTAGCAATCCAAAACAGTCCAGTGGAGCCTGAGTGGTGGGCGTTGCCTTCTGATACACTTCCGGTGATGTCAGGGTGTGTGGCATATGCAAATAAGTTATGCTAATGAGTTATGCTAATGAGCTCCTGCACCTCTTTTCCTACGAAATGACCCCTGTAGCTTCTCCCTTGCCTTGAAAACCCCCTGCTGGGATCACCGTAAGTTGGTTGCCACTTGCCGGCAATTACGCGCATACGTTTATAGCATGTGCCACACTTCATGGCCTGCACCGTATACCATGATGTGCCACTTTCGGGGGACACGCTGCTGCTGCTGGGATATCCCCAGACTGGAAACCAAGGGGGTTGTGTTTCTCCAGTCTTTTTCGGTGCTCATTCCCACAGCATGCATCCAAACCCTGTTGTGTATATCAAAAGTATCTGGCAATAGCCTTCCTAAGAACCATAGAGTTGGAAGGGGCCATACAGAGACCGTCTAGTCCCACCCCCTGCCCAATGCAGGACCAGCCTGAAGCGTCTCTGACAAATATTCGTCCAGCCTCTTCTTGAAAGCTGTCAGTGAAGGGGAGCTAAAACCACCTCCCCCGGCAGCTGATTCTACCTTGGAACCACTCTGTGAAAAGGTTTTTCCTGATATCCAGCCGATGCCTTTCCGCGTGTAATTTAAACCCGTCGCTTCGGGTCCTCTCCTCTGCTGCCAACTGGAACAGCTCCTTGCCCTCCTCCAAATGACAGCCTTTCAGATATTTAAAGAGAGCAATCATGTCCCCCTCAGTCTCCTCTTCTCCAAACTAAACCTTCCCAGGGCCCTCAGCCTTTCCTTGTAGGGCTCGGTCTCCAGACCCCCGATCATCCTCGTCACTCTCTTCTGCACCCTCTCGATTTTGCCCACCTCCTTTTTGAAGCGAGGCCTGACCAAGGCAGTCTACAGAGGGGCGACGACCTCCAGCGATTTCGGTGCTGTGGCCCTTTTAATAAAACCCAAGACTGAATCTGCCTTTTTGGCCACCGCATCACACTGACTGCTCATATTTAGTTTACAGTCCACCCTTACCCCACAATCTCTTTCGCATACACTGCTCCCCAGAAACGTATCCCCCATCCAGTATTTGGGCTTGACATTTTTGTGGCCCAGATGTAATACTGTGCGTTTATCTTTGTTGAACTGCATACGTCTCCATGTTCCCTCTAAGCTGTGGAGTCTTGTGAGCAAAAATTATACTTTGTGAGCTACTGGCATTAAAGCTGTGAGCGAGTGATTGGGCTGCTGCATAAATTAGTTTGCTCTGGAGCCCTCCTTCCTGAGCTAAGACAAGAATCTGTGAGCTGGAGGCTAAAAAACTGTGAGCTAGCTCACACTAACTCAGCTTAGAGGGAACACTGGTCTCCACGCTCCAGAGTAACTACACATTCTTCCCCACTTCCCCCACTAAAATAAATATGGCCATAGCAGCCCTTGGAATTGACTGGTGCTTTGGACTCCAGGATGGGTACTTTAACGGAGCGTGGCTGACTTCAGGGGCCCGACCAGAAAAACAGACTGCAGCAATCCGGCAGCCCAGAAATGTGGGCGCTGGCTAAAAGCTGGCTGGCAGATTAGAAACGTACACGATAGACACGCATCGCTAAAACCATTAGAACCAAGTAAGCAGACACCATTAAAACCTTAGGTAAAATACACGTACAAAACCATAAAAACAACACCGGGCAGGACGGAGGGATTCCGAAGGGTACACCGGACATAACCAAAAGTGTCCACTTGCTAGCGGAAGACAGGAACAGGCGTGTCTCCCTGGGGAAAAGAGTTCAGAAGTTTTGGTGCCACCACGGAGAAGGCCCTGTCCCAGATTGGCGCCCACCTAATCTCAGGGCCACGGGAGTGTCAGCTATGCTGCCATGAAGGTTGGGGAGTTTGGTCTGTATCTGGTTAATTGCTATTGCTTTCCTTTCAGGTTAATTGCTACTCCATTCCTTTCTGTGCTTTCTCTGCTGGGCGCCGAAACGCTTATCTATACAGATGTGCAGGAGGGTGTTGTGGTGTCTGGGTTTTCCCTAGGTGCCGTGGGAGAGTGTTCGTTCTCAGCTTCAGCTACCTAACGGTCTTTAAGCCTTATCCCGCGCGCGGGAGGGTGCCTAATTGGCCAGTGCTGTGGGGGGGTGTGTGCATACGAATACCCTATATCCTGTTATGCCCAAGGGGCCGCCGCCATTCTTAACAGTGCCTATGTTACTGCATCTATAGCTTTGCAATAAAAGTATAACCGTTCCTGAATGCGTGTACTTCGTTGTTGGCTGTGGGTTCTGACAGGGAGATGACAGCAGCTGTCGGGGAGGTTTGTCAGGGAGCGGGTGAACCTGGCCGCAAGTCGGGAAAGCCTCTTCACCCGCCCCTCTTTCTTTCTCGCTTCCCCCACGCAGGTCCGAGCCTACATCGGCGGCATCTCCCCCGACGGCCAGGAGAGCCAGGCCATGCTGGCCTTCCGCCTCAGCGCCCTCAACCCCATCGTGGACCCCTGGCTCTTCATCATCTTCCGCAACTCCGTCTTCCGCAGCATCAGGGACTTCTTCTGCTGCCGCCTGGGCTGGCTCTCTTTGCCCGGGAAGCGGAAGGCCTCGGACAAGGTGGGGATGCAAGGCCTCTCTTTCCACGACAACGGCGTCTGATGGCAGCGGAAGTCACCCTCGGCCGCCGGGACAGCAGTGCCCTGGCGGGGGACAGCTTGGGCCGCTCTCCCCGCTCTCCGCGGACGGAGACGAGGAGAAACCACCTTCTCAAGAAGGATGCCGGATTCGTCGGGCTTCTCCGAAGCCTGGGGCACGGACCAGCTTGTCGATGGAAGAGGTGGGAGATCGGGGAGGGCTTTCGGGTCACCCTCCGGGGGCAGCATCTCTGGTAGGGTGGGAACGCACTGTTTGGTGTCCCGTCTCCAGACGAGGAAAGGAGACGGGAAGCCGGGAGTCAAAGGAACCTCCAGATCCCCTGTGAAGGGGAGAGACGGAGAAGCTGTGAAGGCACGGGGACTATCGATGCACTTGCCACCAGTGTTCCCTCTAAGCTGAGTCAGTGTGAGCTGGCTCACAGTTTTTTAGCCTCCAGCTCACAGATTTTTGTCTTTGCTCAGGAAGGAGGGCGCCAGAGCAAACTGATTTATGCAGTAGCCAAACAGTTTGCTCGCAACTTTAAGGCCAGGAGCTCACGGAGTAGAGTTTTTGCTCACAAGACTCCACAGCTTAGAGGGAACATTGCTTACCACTGTAGCTGTGAAGGCACCATCCTGCCTGCACTAAGGGTTGACAGCTGCAGGTTGGGAAATCCCTGGAGATTTGGGGTTGGCGCCTGGGAGGGCAGGGACCCCAGCAGGTGCCAGAAAGCCCACCCTCCAAAGAAGCCATTTTCTCCTGGGGAACTGATCTTTGCTGTCCAGAGACAGTTACAATTCTGGGAGACTGGTGCTGTTCTGTACATCAAGGTATCAAAAAGGCGAGTGGTTAAAGACAGCGTGGGGTTCTCCCGTGCTTTTGGTGCCTGTCTGCTTCCAAAGCACGGGGTTTAACGGGTTTTTGAAACGTGACTGTGAATAGTCGAAACCAGGGGTCATTTCCTGCGGGAGCGCACAGGAGCGGAGCTCCGGCAGTAAGGAGCCCAGGGGGCGGGCACATGCAACAAGCCCCGCCCCCTGTTCCCAGCAGCCCTCAGTCGGGCCACGAGGAGCAAGAAGCAGCCAGGTAAATTGCAGAGCCTCCCCCCACCCTGCCTGCCTTCAGTTACAAGCTCTCCCTCCTCTGTGAGGGCAGATCGGCACGTTCCCCCCCCCCCATACATAAACATCCCAAAAAAGACCTGTGGCTGGCACTTTTAAGGCCAAGTTTTATTCAGGTAAAAGCTCTCCCTCCTCTGTGAGGGCAAATCTGCACGTCCCTCCCTCAATAGCTAGCAATCCAAAACAGTCCAGTGGAGCCTGAGCGGTGGGTATTGCCTTCTGACACACTTCCAGTGATGTCAGGGGATGTGGCATATGCAAATAAATTATGCTAATAATTTATGCTAATAAGCTCCTGCACCTCTTTTGCTACAAAATGACCCCTGGTCGAAACTGTAAAAAATAAAATAAAGGATGAGTTTGTTTCAAATTTATCTGGGTGTCTGTTACTCCTAACACCAAATATATGGGTCCTCCTAGCCCAGGTTGTGTGTATTTCTTGCCTTTTTTGACCGGGATCGTTAGGAAAGGGACTGAAAATAAAACGACCAATATTGTGATGCCCCTGTATAGCTCTATGGTGCGGCCTCATTTGGAATGCCGTGTGCAGTTCTGGTGGCTGCTGCATCTCAAGAAAGACACTGCAGAGCTGGGGAAACGACAGAGGAGGGCGACCAAGATGATGAGTGGGTTGGAGCACTGTCCCTATAAGAACACAAGAGAAGCCATGTTGGAATCAGGCCAATGGCCCATCCAGTCCAACGCTTTGTGTCACACAGTGGCCAAAACCCAGGTGCCACCAGGAGGTCCACCAGCAAGGTCAGAACTCCAGAAGCTCTCCCACTGTTGCCCCCACAAACACCAAGAATACAGAGCATCACTGCCCCAGACATAAGAACAGAAGAGAAGCCATGTTGGACCAGGCCAAGAATACAGAAAAGCTGAAGAGTCTGGAACCTGTCAGTTTAGAAAAGAGGCTAAATGGGGAACCTGATGTAGGTTTATAAAATTATGCGTGTGATGGAGAGAGTTGAACAGAGAGAACTTTTCCTCCCTCTCCCAAAATATTAGAACTCAAGGGCATCCAATGAAAAGTCTTTGCATGCATGAATATATATATTTTTCCCTATTATATACTTTATTAAAATATAAGACTCTAGATCAGGGCTATTTTTGGGCAGGAACACACAGGAACGGAGTTCCAGCTGGCTCCCAAGTTGGCCACGCCCAGCAGGAACTCATTAGCATAATAGGCCACACCCAACAGCAGAAACTCATTCGGATTGGCTACATTAGGGGTGTGTGGCCTAACATGCAAAGGAGTTCCTGCTACAAAAAAAGGCCCTGGGTTTTGACAACAAACAAGGTCAACAGAATAAGAAGCAAAAGGTGGGTGTGGCTGGATGACCACACTTCTGGTAACATGGGGGTGCGGCCTAATGTGCTAATGAGCTGTGCTGTCAGGGGTGTGGCCTAATAGGCTAATGAGTTTCTGCTGTTGGGTGTGGCCTATTATGCTAATGAGTTCCTGCTGGGCTTTTTCTACAAAAAGAGCCCTGCTCTAGATTAACAGATAACAAACAACGTGTAACATCGATATGCACAGCCTGTGCGTTGAATCACATCCAGAAGGCGCTGTTGACTCTTGACTTAGCGCCAGACGGAACGTGATCCATGCATGCATATTTGGAGTGGCTGTATACGGAGTCCGGCGGAGAGGGCTGAGGCTAGCGATGACTCTCACGCCAGGAAAGGTCATTCTGAGAGCCCCGACTCTCCAACTGGAGATGCGAAGGACGGACTTTCTGGAGGCAAACTCGGGGTCCCTTTCCTAGGAGGAAAGGCTGAAGATTCCGGGACTTTTCAGTTTAGAAAAGAGACAACTGGGGGGGGGGGGCACACATGAGAGAGGTTTATAAAATCATGCAGGGGTGGAGGGAGTTGACAAAGGATTTTTCTTCCTCTCCCAAAATACTGGAGCTCGAGGGCATCTGATGAAGCTGACGGGCAGGAGGTTCAGGATGGACAAAAGGAAATGCTACTTTACACAGAGAGTGATTCAAAGGGGGTATTTGCTGCCAGAGGATGCAGTGATGACCACAGGAATAAACAGCTTTAAAAGGGGATTAAGTAGATTAATGGAGGAGAAGTCTATCAATGGCTTCGAGCCATGGTGACTGAGGGAAACCTCCACATCCAGAGGCACGAAGCCTCTGAATCCCAGAGCCAGGAGGCAACATCAGGGGAAGGCCTCGGCCTCTCTGCCCTGTTGTTGGCCGTATGGAGGAACTGGCTGGCCCCTGTGTGAGACAGGATGCTGGACAAGATGAACCCTCACTGGTCTGATCCAACAAGTTCTTATCGGGGAAGGCCTCGGCCTCTCTGCCCTGTTGCTGGCCCTCCAGAGGAACTGGCTAGCCACTGTGTGGGACGGGATGCTGGACTAGAATGGCCACTGGTCTGACCCAGCAAGGCTCTTCTGATGTTCTTATGAAGGCCTCAGCCTCTCTGCCCTGTTGTTGGCCCTCTAGAGGAACTGGTTGGCCCCTGTGTGAGACAGGATGCTGGACTAGGTGGACTGCTGGTCTGATCCAGCAGGGCTCTTCTGATGTTCTTCTCAGGGGAAGGCCTCAGCCTCCATGCCCTGTTTTTAGCTCTCCAGAGAAACTGGTCGGCCACTCTGTGAGACAGGACGCTGGACTAGGTGGGACTAGATGGGACCACTGGACTAGATGGGACCAGAGGAACTGGCTGGCCCGTGTGAGACAGGATGCTGGACTAGATGGACCCTCACTGGTCTGACCCAGCAGGGCTCTTCTGAGGTTCTTACGAAGGCCTCGGCCTCCATGCCCTGCTGCTGGCCCTCCAGAGGAACTGGCTGGCCCCTGTGTGAGACGGGACACTGGACTAGATGGACCTTCACTGGTCTGATCCAACAAGGCTCTTCTTATGTCCTTACGTGCCAGACTGCTGCCAGAAGCCGATGTGGTGACGCGGTTGATATGTCAGGGTAAGACTAGGGGAAATGCAGGTTCAAAACTCCACTCTACCATGAACTTCAACCTTGAGTCTCTGGTTTGAGCCTACCCTTTAGGGTTGCTCAGGAGATGGCAGAGGTGAGATTTTTGCTCTGGGCTCCTTTGGAGGAAGAGCAGGACAAAAACATGCTAAAAGGCATCCCAGAAATCTTAGGCGCTGGAACCAAAGTGGACCAAAAGGGGCAGACAGACCCCCCCCCCCAATACATCTCTTCAGTCTCCTTGTGACCTCTGGCAGCTTTTCACAACAATACAACCCACCCACCCCCGCTTTATTTAGCCAGAGATAACACCAGGATGAAAGCACCCACAACCAAACAATCCGTTTTTCATCTCTCGTTTCAACTCCCCAAGAAAACTGCTGTCTCTCTACAGCCTTAATATTGGCCTTGTATTTTCTGCAAGTAAGCTTGAAAATACATGGGACATTGGGGAGGTGGGGGCTTGAAGAAGAAGAGATTGGATTTATACCCCGCCCTTCACTACCCAGTTTGGTGTCGTGGTTAAGTGCACGGACTCTAATCTGGGACAACCGGGTTTGATCCCCCACTCCGCCACTTGCAGCTGCTGGATGACCTTGGGCAAGCCGTAGTTCTGATAAGAGCTGTCCTTGAAAGAGAGCCGTTTCTGTCAAGAGCTCTCTCAGCGTCGCCTACCTCACAGGGTGCCTGTTGTGGGGAGGGGAGGGGAAAGGAGTTTGTAAGCCGCTCTGAGACTCCCTTGGGTAGTGAAGGGTGGGGTATAAATCCAATCCCTTCTTCTTCTACCGAAAGGAGTCTCAGAGCGGCTCACAATCTCCTTCCCCTTCCCCACAACAGACACCCTGTGAGGTGGGTGGGGCTGAGAGAGCTCTTTCAAGAACTGCTCGTGAGAGAATGGCTCCGAGAGAACTTGTGACTGACCCAAGGCCACACCAGCAGCTGCA